TATATATATAACATTATGATCTGAGCATAGACGTTTCAGTGACTCATTCCATCATTAGCAAAGCCATACCTCCTGCTGGCGTGCAATCTTCCTTGTTCTATTTATTACCCTCAACCCACTGAGAGGCCGAGGAGGGGAGCGACTAATAGCACGGCCAGAGAGCAAAAATACACGTCAACTGCGACCAATAAGCCGATATATACGTCAACTGCAATCAATCAATACCAACAGAACTCTTTCGGCACGGCCTAATACATGACGTATAAAATACAATGAAAAAATATTTTTGGTACCAACAACGAAAAGTAAGTGAAATAGTCATATTTAGTCTCCCCGATTAACTTCCTCCCACAGAGTAGGAAAAGAGGACAGACGGGCAAAACCAAAAGAACATTGTCGGAAAGACCAAAGAGATCATCTGCCGTGTTGGAGTACATTATTCAAGCGGCATTGCTACCACCGTATGTGGAAGAAGAGATAGCGGCATTCATTACCTCATAGAGCTTTTTTGATTTGCATGGACAGACAGGCAGCGATGAACATTCACAAACAGTCATCTTTTAGTTTAAAATTCTATCGCAACACAAATGGGTCATATAAGTGCCGAAGATCAGCGGTGTTACCAAAAGAAGAGGTGTAACTAAAGAGAACATACAAATAAAAGAAGAGGAGAAATGAGGACAATAGATCTTTCATAGGAGAGTGAAGGACAAAAACCACACCAGAGCACCCACCAGAGCACCCACCAAACACCTACAATCTTATAGGAAGACATCATTTTTAATAGGAATGGATAATACATGTATTCACTTCACGACTTTTAGCGCTGTTGACGCAAAATCAGACAACTTTGGAATCAAGACAAGCACTCCTACTGTCTGAACCTTTCTCACGTCTGTGCCCCTTACGATTCTGGAAGTGTGGAGAGCGGCAAATGCGTGAATTGCCACTCAGAAGTCACTGATCAATGACTGATTACAAATGATCAGTATCGATCGGGGCAAGAGAAGGCCACGAACAGAACAGTCAAAGAAAG